AGTACAATTTACCGATTTTAAGTACAATTTTAACATCAAAAATACTTTCTGAACCCAACGCTCTAATCTCCGCTAGCACTTTGATTCTTAGTCCTTTTAAATATAAGTTATTGTCCGCCTTTACCTGCTTGATAATCTAGTTTGCGTGACAATTCCTGCGAGATACCGCACGTGCAGACCGCAAAAAGTACGAAGCATATTTTTTTTAGCATACCGACTGGTTTGCGAGATCTTGCTTGATTTCATCTGTAATTTTAGTTGTTTGGAACTATTGATTTTCAAAAACAAAATTCAAATTTAGAAATTTAATGACTATTTAAAATAATAAAATGGAGTGGCGGATTCCGATTCCAGGTGTTTTAAAATATGAATGCGTTTGAAATTTCGTGAAAAAAGTATGGTTTTAAATGCTCAGGGCCTGTGCCAAATGATAGAAAAGAGAAAATTTTGACGGATCAAAGTAAAAATCTGACATTTCTCGTGGTGAATAAAAACGTCAGAATTTTACCTAGCTCATGGGGCTAGGTAAAATTTTGACAGCTTATAACCTTGTATACACATAATATTGCTTGGCGGTAATAAGGAGTGAACATGAAAATTAAAGCTGAAACAGCATAAAAAAAGCGTAAGTTACTTGCAAATTATAAAATAAGTATAAATTTTAAGAATTTCAGCAACACACAAAAATAAAGCTTTCGCACGAGCGTTTGTTTGGTTTTTCAACTGTCAAAATTTTACTTTGCATTTGTACACCATAGCAAATTTTTCCACCCCGTCTCACCACGGAGAAAAAAGTTACCGATTGGCACACGCCCTCAGTCAACAAAATTTCAACTCGCTTGCGAGAAATAAAAGGAGAACGCAAGCGAAACTTAATATGGTTTATTCCTTAATAACACCTTCATCAAAAAAAAAATATATATATATATAATAATTTGCAACTTTTTATTCAGATTTTTAAGAATTTTTAAAATTTTTGGCAATTTTTCTCCATACAAAAAATAATTGTCGAACATTGTATGAAGAATCTGAGTAAAAAAATTGCCAAAAATCAACGCGATTCTCTAGCAACTTAAACTTGCACTTTCCTTTACTAAAATTAAATTTTTCCAAAAATTCTGACTAAAAAGTTACAAGTTAGTATGCAAATTTATTGAATTTTCCTGAATTTTCCAAAGTTTGGAGATTCGGTTTTTATGTTTTTTTGATGGAGTATGAACCAAATTTTTATTAAAAATTATCGCAAATAAATAAGAATAAAAAACATTGCATATATTTCGAAAAATTCACTGTGACAATACTTTTGTTCGTAACTTTATGTACATATATATGTATGTCTTCATTTTTACTATGGAAGCGTAGGCAAACTGTTCACGTTTTTCTCCACTTAGATGTGTTTGCAAATTTAATACAATTGCATAATTTCTTCCAGCTTTTTGCGCTTAAAATCAGGTACAACACAATTTTCAGCAGCATACCCCACGGGCAATAATACCAGCAACTTTTCATTTGCAGGCCTATCCAGTAGCGTTCGTAATGCGAGTCCACAATTTAGTGGTGTAGTTATCAAGCTATTCAATCCAGCAGCTTGTAGGGCACACAACAAAATCCCAGTTGCAATTGCTACGGATATCTCATTGTAATAATGTTGCTTACGGCCGCCATCTGGCAAATAACCATATACTTGTTTAAATACCAAAATTAAATACGGTGCATCTGTTAAATAAGGCTTCGTATGAGTTGTGCGCAAGGGACGCAAATCAGCCGTCCACTGGCGATGCATACGCTGGGCATAATTCAACTCTTCCTCCCTTTCGACAACATCGCGAATACGTTGTTTCAAGTCGAAATCTTTGACGATGCAGAATGTCCATGGTTCAGTATGTGCGCCACTGGGAGCTGTACCAGCAGCGCGTATGCAATCCATAATTACCTCGAGGGAAGGAACTGGCGTTGTGCGGAAAGAACGTACACTGCGACGATTGTTGGCCAACTCGAATAGTTGTTTGGCACCACCGCTTAACGTAACTGTGGCACCATGAAATGGCACATGTTCATCAACTTGCAGTGCTGGTACATAGTGGTTGTGCAAAGTGTCAACATTTGTCTCTTTACATTTTTCGGTAATATCACTGAATTCAGCTGGAAAGGGAAAAAAACTTAATGTACGTAGTAAAATAAAGATTTTGGAATCGCGTATTTTAAGCATTACCTACCACCAACATATTCTTCGCCGTCTAACCTAGTTATCTTATTTTTTATACAACTGACTGCATTTGTATGAGAAACCTTATTATTCACGAAACGATATGCAAATATTCCAAATGCTATTAACACCAGTACAATCAATGTATCTTTCGAGTGTTTTAACAAGAAAGAATTTTGTAATATCCAAATGATCTCCATTTTTTCCTTTTTTAGCTTTGTTTGGCAAAACGAAGTATTTAGCAATGTCTAGCGCTACGCTGCTTACTAAAAACTATGTGGAACAGATTTAACCCAATTGTTTTTTACAAAAGTATTACTTAAATAGTATGTGCCTTAAGTTGTATTTATAATTCCATGTAGTATATCAATTTATCTATGTAGTTATAAGTACTTTTGTACAATGTAAATACATACATACGTATGTATATTGTGTACTGTGTTGATAAGAGCAATCTAGAGCAAGTTTAAATAAAAAAAAATACATGCTAATTTAATCTTGTACAAATAGCTTAAAAATTCCCCAGCCAACAAGCAAACGTACATTTTACGAACATTATATTTTAGGAGAGATTCTCGATCGGCAAAAGTTGGAGAAAGGCTCGTAGCGATAAGCCAAAAACATATTTATAGAAAGATGCTTGTAGTAATTTGTCAGCACAAGAAAGTTTTCATTTTGTTGGCAATTTTTCCTTGAATCACAATATTTCCGAATATAAAATATTCGCATACGAAAGCTTTTTCGAACCGTTTACGACTGTTCGTAGGCGCTCTACAATTTCAAGCGCGAAAAAGTACTCGAAAACGAATCATAAACGACTTTTTATCCGGTTTCTCTTCGAGAAAATATCCAGTTACGAGCTCGTTTACGATGATTTTGCTGGCTGGGTCGCTTTTTAAAATGTCGCTTGCGTATTGAAAACGGGTCATTCAATACTTACTTGTTTCCCCCACAAATATATACATAGGCATGTACATATGTATTCAAGTAGAACTCTAATCAAATCAATAGAATACACAACTCGGTGGGATCATTTAAATGGAACATATGGCCTAATGTTGTATTTTAAATCTATTTCAATTATTTACATACAAATGTATATGACTATATATACATACACATACGTACATACTATGTGCATACATACATACATGTATGTACGTACTCCATATTAATCTTATGAGTTTTCTGAACTGTCATTCATTTCAAAACTGCAATCATTCATCTTTATCTCCCCCGCCGACATAAGTTTTTGACCTACCTTAATACTACTTGTATAAGTGCCACTCTCACTTGTTACTTCCCCAACACCACAATTTGTGCTTGGTTGAGTCGTCGTACTCTTCAATTTTGCACTATGAACATCTCGTAAAACATCCATTATCCTCCATTTGGCATTGAAGAACAATTCTTCTGGAAGATCTTGCAAATCAGCTTTTATCATTTCACATAAACTATCGAGTTGTTTTGCATACTTTTGTGATTTTCCCGGTGTTGTTGTAGTACGATCTTGAGTCAATTTTGAACTTTTACTGCTAGTACCGCAAAACTCCAGTTGTTTAATGGAGGAGTGCGCCAGCTCTTTGTGAAACGAAGTCTGTTTGTCTTCCGTATTATTTTGCTGATCTGTACTGGTCGACATACATGAAATATCATTTTCATCGTCGAACAGCAATTTATGAAGTGTAGTATTCTGCAAATTTTACACAATTGTTTCAATATTTTATAAAAATAATTGCATTTTCAATTTACAAAATACTTACCCCGGAACGGTGTGATGCAATTGGATCACAGTCTCTCGAATATGTTTCGCCATCACAAACAGAAGACGAGTTTTTAATCAACTGAATTCGAGGTTCCGTCAAAGCCGATGAATAACACTTATGCCGGTTTAAGTTAGAAGTATTCCTTCCATTGTATTTTAACAAACGCATGCATTTGCGACAGCATACATATCCTTTTACAATTGATCCGTTACCTTTTCTAATTTCTGCAAAAACGTTCCAAATTTCGCTTTTACCTTTCCGCTTATGTGAAAGCGTATAGTCACCGCCGGCAATTTTTTCTAAAATAACTTCTGGATCCTTGGAAATGCGTGTAAATGTCTTGAAGTAATGTTTATTTTAATATTTAATTTATATATATAAATGTATGTTTGTATGTATGTAGTACTTTAGGGCGTGTTTATTTGTTCCGAAATCTTTACTAGCAGCTTCGGACATGATTCAATTATTAAAGGTTTTGTAAGTAGCTTTTTTCTAAAATTTGGCACTCCCACCCACAGGGATGGTTTTTGGAAGCAGAAGAAAAAGGGGAAGAATTCAATCACACTTCCTAAAATGGGAGCTAAATTCTATAAAAACGTGTGGATAATAGTGAATGGTGGTATTTTAAAACAAAAACGAATTTGATTTAATTATTTAATTTAAACAAGCTTATTTACATCGAATATAACCCCCTATTGTTATTAAAAATAAATATTTCTATGTTTATACCAAACTTGCGTACGTCAGATGGCGCATAACTCGAGAATGGATGGTCCACTTTCAGCTTTTTTTTTGTTGTATTTGTTTGCCAGTTGATGGACATGAAGAAGCTATTTGTTTGCGGAAAATATGCAATATTTATTAAACAAAAAAACGGCAAATAAAAAAATTTGGAGCTTACGTTTCTTTCGCGGTTATGGCTCGATTGTTTCGAATTCTTTGATGTCGCACTTTTTATGTTCTGGGGAAAATATTCAACACTGGCTTGCACAGCCGCAGTTGGCGATTGGTGCCGGACGAACTCAGAGCACGCAGCTACTGAACGACTGAGATAGGGAACGTGATCTACATCGTCAAATGAGAAGTGGCGTAATGGGGCTTTCGCACGAGGCGATTTTTCAGGCAACTTTTGCGTTCAACTCCCGCCGGGTTGCACGAAAAAAAATTTGAATGACTAAAAATATCAAAATATAAAAAAATATTAAAATATTCGCCATAAAAAGGCGTTTGTATTGTTCAATTTTGCATTCTACTTTCAGCTAATCGCTTTCAATAAAGTTGGTCGCCAGCCAACATTCGCCTCGTGCGTACACCTTTTAAGTGTGCAATTACATCGCGCCATTGACTAAACCGAGCTGTCGTGTGACGATTGGGCCTATGGATGCGGTTTGGCAATGTTATATTGCGTCAAAATCTCATTCGGAGACACCAGGATTGTGTCGTGGAGTACAATACCTAAATACCTTCGTTGGCTCATTGAACGCTTTACTTTACAGCGACTTGGCAGAATCAAGAGGTCTCCACGAATATCGACAAATACATTTCGGCATTTAAGGGAATTTCGTCTCTTAACATTGAATTTCTGTAGTCCAACGATTCTCACCCATTTTGTCTTGTTGGCGCCAGCGAATGCAGAACAAACATTTCTTCAAATTTAAAAAGTAAAAATTTCACTACTAACAATTTAAAAATGTTCTTAAAACTTGCAAAGAAATTTGGAAAAGAAATATCACTGTTTTTGTTTTTAGGAGTAGGGTGGGAGTGTCATTGATAAAATTAGAGCGAGAGAAAGTTTTTCTTACAAAACCTTTCATTATTGAATCATGGCTTCGGATTCTACATAAAATTCTTATAAAAAGTCAATTAGAGCACAGCTCTTAAGTCAATTTCGAGCGCCCCAAATTTTAAACGGAGCTATCTATCTCTATTTTTTCATACAAAATTGTTCTTGGGTCGTGTTTCGTATAAAGAATAAATTTTTTAATAGGCAGGAGTATTTTTAACCGACTTCAAAAAAGGAGGAGGTTGTCAATACGTCGGAGTTATTAGTTGCGTTCCTTATCTCCCAGAAATAGTCCGCAGCAGTCAGAATAAAAACACTCAGTGAGAGTGACTGACTCTCTTCAATCCGAAGTAGTCAGATTTAGTCAGAAGAATTTTTGCTGGCAAAATCTTGAAAAGTGTCAAACTCAACTCAATTTAAATTAGCGGAAATTAAAGAATACACGAAAAGGGAGAATAATCTAAAAACTGAAAAAAGTGAATTGAAAATGGAAGGAGGTGCCTTACATATAAATACAATTCATATGAAAGTGCCTGAGCTTCATATGGAAGGGCAAAGCAAAGGTCCTCCCATATTAAGCTCAGACACTCCAGTAAGTTGTACAAATTTACACAAACAAATATTGAATGAAAAAATAAAAAATATGAGACCACTGAAAAAAATTTATCAAGGACGGTCATCATCATGAGTAAAATAGTTTAAATCGGCATTTAATCATTATTTTATGATTTTTATTTTTTTCGCTTGAAAATACTACTTATTATTATTGAGTTTTATATTTTCGCTCAACGCAAATAATTATTATGTGATTTTCATTTTTTTTTTATGAATTTTATTTTTAGAGATAATAATTATTATTAAGTTTTATTTTTCTGCTATAAAAATAATGATTATTTACAAAATTTAATAGGCAACCAACTGAAATCTTGACTTGAAATTTTGAAACCTATTCCTTTTATTAGTGCCTCGCTAGCTCTGGAAAGTATACGTCGGAAATCACGCTGATGTAGCTTTTGAGCTTTGTGAATAACACAGTGCTACAAAAAAGAAAGATATATATATTTTCTGGTAGGTATTTTCGAGTAAAACCAGAATTGTAGTAGTTTATAAATTTAAGTTTGCCTATTTGTGAACTGTTTAACTATTGTAAATAGCCTAACCATGGTGAACGTTTGTGGCGCTTTCATGTACATACAAACGAAGGGTTGTTAATAAAATTACAACTCAGAAAACTTTCATCCGATTTTCAAAAGTTAACACCAGTTTTTTTTCGTTATTTAATTTGGCTTTACAATCAATTTAGGACTAATATGATTTTCTTATAAAAAAGTGCGTAAAAACCCCACCAAAATTGAAAAAAGGCGAAAAAAGTAAAAAAAAAAATTGTTTGCTGGGTAAATACACACAGAAGGCCCAAGTTTCTTCTTTTTAGAACTGGTAATAAACCGAAACTCGGTTGATAATGAAGTTACAGGCTTATAAGTACGAAAAACCGGTTTTCTTAACGGTAAATCAAGATTTTGGGGGTGTTTGGCAAATTTCATATTTCGATTCTGGTTTTACTCGAAAAGACCTACCAGAAAATATACATAACTTCCCAGGTATTTTTTAGTGTCGCACAGTGCTAATACAAAGAGAAAAATTACCAACAAAAAGTAAATAATATCTTTAAAGAAAATAAAACGCGAAGTGAATCAAGTGGTAGACTGTCCAACTGTACACAGACGACTCAAAACTTGACTGTGAATTATTGTAATACGATATTGATTAACTATATATTATAAAACCAATAAACAAGTAAATATATATTGTCGTTTCAATTAAAATTGTACAAATTATTTACCATTTAAATTTCAGTATTTCAATGATATGTTTGAGACCAATTGGAAAATCATATTGGAATTTAAGTTTAGCACTAGCTTTTCCTCAACTTGAGAAACAGTACTTTTTCATACAAAGAAAGAAGTCCTTTTTGTTGAGAACGCTATGACCCTCCACTTGAGGTACTGTTGGGAAACAACGGTGAAGATTTGAGAAATACCTTAGTTTTCAACTTAACCTCAAGTTGAGTTAACGAACTCGAAACCACGTCGGAAGTCTGATACAACCCTGTCTTTTCCTGTCATCTGTGGGTCATCGGTGTTAAAATTGAAATATTCGTTCCCTACCGGTGTTCAGAGTTAAGCTCCGATCAGATTAGATTTACTTCGGTTTTTGTAAAAATTTTAAATCTACTCCTCTGCTCCGCTTGACTTCAAATCTTTTGTTTTTTTTTCCTCATGTTCTTCATGGTTTTCTTTTTTATAAAGCAATCGCATTTCTGTCTGGTAGTATATTTCAGGACGTATGGATAAGGATTGAGCCAAAATATTATCCTTCCATTGCCTCGCGTTTTTTATTTTTGCATGAATAGAAAATATTTAAGTCATACAATTAATGTCGAAAGCGAAAATAAAAGGTGCAAATCTAGTACGGAAAATTTGTTTTTGTGCTGATTTTTGAAGCGATTTACTCCTGAATCGAGTTTTAGAGGTCCGAACACTGTTCACTGGTTAACTTTTTGGTGGGGACATGGTATTAGAATTTTATGTAGAATGCGAATCTGGCAGAAAAAATGCTCCCAATGTATATACACTTATGGTCAACTGATTAAGTTAGGTGTAATTTTGACCAGTTTTGGATACAGTCTATTCATTGTTTATAGCCAGGGAACGGATTTTATGGAAATTGCCTTTTTTACTCCTAAAGAGATTGAGTATATTCGATTAAGAACGTCCACGATTTAGCTTCCCCTGATTCCATATATACACACACATTTGATGTTGCCTTTCTTTGCCCTTTCTACCTTTAATTGCAAACATTACTGACAATATGAAAGCTTTAAACGTTCCATATTAAAAATGAGCGCCACTTGTATCAACTCACGTCGAGCGCACGTTTAGTACAATCAGGGCTTTTCTTCGCGATAGTCGAATGAAAGTGCTGCCAGAAGACTTCAAAATGCATCTTGTGGTTCAATGTTACTACAACTATAGTGATTAAAGTTTTGTGAGTTAAAAACTCGAAAGGAGAAAATAGTCAAAGATTCAAAGTAGAAATTTTTCAAGTAATGACACTAGTTAGTTCATGGTTCTTCTCTTTCTACTTGTAAAATAAATAACTCTAAACTAAATATATTTTTTGACTATTTTCCGTTTTTTGTCTTTTTTAGTGCCTTCTTTTGCCTTTTTGCGATTTCTAGTGCCTTTTCCTGCCTATTTCGCTAATTTTATTTTGCCTTTTCTAGCCTATTTCGTTATTTTTGCCTTTTGTATAGGTTTTTAGGTCCTAAAAATCCGTTCTTTGTTTTTAACTCTTTTATAAACGTGTAGCGCATAACATAACAGGCACCACATCACCATTTCAAACTTCCTACAAAAATTATAAAAATTTTACAAACTTTAACAATTGCACCCGAAAAATTTAAACTTTTTATTCAGAAGTATGCTCGACAATTACTTTTATATGGAAGAAAATGGCTAGCTCCGTCAGAAAGAAAAAACTATTAAAAATCAAC